TTTAACAATGCCATGTCTTGTTTCGTTTTTCTAGTTGTATTTTGGTTTTCATTCTCTTCCAAAAATTGGGAAATTCTATCTTCTGAAAAGATAACGAATCGAGGATTTGACTCATCCATCTTTGATTCATACGTCGAGAAAACGCCGCAAAGCTACCACATCTAGCGATGTGACGTCACTTGAATAGAACAAACAATGTGATTGGTTCAAGTAAAATATATCGCAAGATTTGATTGGACAGTTTACCGTGAAGTGATATCGTATAACTTCACTGATATGGTTTTTATTCACGGCTTTATTTCACGGATATCGAGCGTAAATGTGTAATAAAAGAAGTTAGCATCTCACAAAAAAGTACTGGCGCCTCCAGCATGCTTCTTCTCTTCTACTTGCATCATTTAACACCCATTTTCCCTCTTTCTTCTAGTGCAGAGTCCATGTCAGGCACGATCGTTTTGTTAGCCGACGACAAGCTGTTACTTCTTCCATTGGAATCTCTCAGCGCCTTTCTAACTCCTCGAGTGACGTCGCTTACCCGAGATTTCTCATTACAATTTCTTTATCACCGTTTTCATCAAAACGAAGGTAAAACAATGTAGTGGAAACTTATTGTTTAACTCCTTTGACGTGCTTGTTGGAATTTAAGAGGAAATTTTTTTCGATAATGAGCAATAATGGCAAAAAGCCAAAAACTAGACTTTCGTATGAGTTTTGATCCCAATTTTCGTTTTGGGTTAACACTCAAAACCTTTTTTTAAACAGTTAGAAACTGATGTGCTATGATCAAATGCCTGTTTGAAGCGGTATTTTCAATTGTACAAAGATGTTTTGTTGCATTTGTGTTAGAATRTTGCTTTGTCAGGCTTTTTTATAGAAAATATATGGGAAATAAGCAAATGAAGGCCTAAACCTCATTTTCGAATAAAATTTTTGCTTTGGGTTAACACTTTGATTCCACTTTCATCGGTCACCTCCACTTCCAAACAAACTTTCTGAATAACAAGATTTTAGCCTTGTACAACAGCCTTTTTTCAAGAAAATAGTTTTTGCCGCTCACTGCTTGAATACGAAAAGAATTCTCTCTTTATTACAAATGATTTTGAAATACTAGTTTCGAAACAACATGGAAAGCTATTAGTAGGATGCTTTTTGTCCTCCAAATGTAGCTAACGGAAAGTGATTATCTGTTACTATCAAAAGTACGAAAGTAACAATAGTAGTATTTCTAATGTTGCAAGTATGTTTGGATTGTTTCAACAAACAATAAGATTGACCCCTTAGCCTCGCACTCGATTTAGAACCATTAGTATTTTCCTTTGCCGAGGTCCATGCCTCGGTTCATTGGTCGGTTCACAAAGCACTATAGTAAAAGTACCTTGTGTCCTTGATGGAATGCTTTTTATTGTATAAAATGCTCTGAACCCAGATGATTGAATATGTATCGAAGTATTAAGACCATTCGTGTGTATGTAATCCTGAGAAGGACGCTGAAGGTGACTTCCGCTCAGGTTGTCGAAACGTCAGTCACATTAAACAGTCCTTCTCAGGATTACATCCACCCGGATGATCATAATACTTCGATAAACATGGAATGCTTTTTGTTGGACTAGTGAACCAACATTACGAATGGAAAGGGTGAATATCACTGAGAAGAAATCTTTCATCCATAATTTGGATTTTTGTTTGCCTGTGTTTCACTTACAGAAAACGAACATAAAGGTGATGCGAAAAAAGGTGGAGGGAAAAAGGGGGACAAAAAACCAGAGAAGCCATCGACAGCCAAGTCAAAACCTAGTGATAAAAAGGTAATGAAAATAATGGTAATATTCTTAAAATATTAAGAAGCGAGGTGGAAAATTGACTATTTTCATTGCTCTTCCACTGTATATTTCTTTCTTTGCAATGTAACAATGTGTTTATCATCGTAATTTGATCTTTTCTTTTAGATCTCTAAGATATTTTATTATAATTTATCAATTAGTCAAAACTCAATGTTTAGAAATATCTTGTCGCTCAAACTATTCTTGCCATAAAAAAGGCAAAGCCATCATACTGTTAAATCAAACGGCTGACGTACGGCTTTGATTTGTTGTTGTTGCTGTTGTTGTTGTAGTAGTATAGGGGATGGGGGTTCCAGCGCAACGACCACCGGAGGATTACCCGTCTAAAGTACCCCCCTCGATTCGTACCGC